TGCTGAGCCCCAACACATGAGGATGGTACCCCAGTCTTGGTCATTTGTGGATCAGTATGTGCTTTATCCTTGGTCTCATCAGTATCATCTTCGGCTTCTGCCATAGCAATGACCCTCGCTTTTGCGGCCTCTCCAACCAAATTGAGACCATCAGTTGGATTCCGAGAGACGATGTTGCTGTCCACATGCATTTGTCCATCGAGTACTTGTGTGATGCCAACCATAGTTGGCTTCGTCGGATATGCAAAGGCAAATGACTCTTCGGAATCAGCTGGCCAACCTTCAATCGCCATACCCACTTCGTGCGCCTTACTCAGCGAAATCCAACCTTCAGATGTGACTAGATGTGAGACGACTTGGCTACTCTCTAGAAGTGACTGCGCATCTTCGAGAGAGCACTTCTTGTCGTCCTTTAGAAGATACTTGTTGCTGGTTTCCAGTGTACTAATTACATCCGCGAGACGGAAACCAGTCCATGTGAAATTCGACTGGCGCAAATTTCGAATGAGACTGTGACGTGCTTTCAGGCTATTCTTGTGGAATAGGTAATCGACATCTGTCCGTTCACTAGTTATAGCATTTGCTCGCAGAACCTGGATGAATAAATTTGCCGTCATCCTATCGAACCAACATGGCTTAATGTAGACCACACGATGTCGCATGGGCGGCAGGACAATATCCTTGTCCACATCTTCTGGTCTCGTCTTGACAACCAAGCCTTCTAAAGTTCGAAGAAAGCACGAAGAGAATCCGGAGAAAGTCTTGCGATATTGATGTTCATGGCGGTAGATATATTCCTCCCAGTCGAGTTTGCCTTCGGTGTCACTATCGCACCATGGCCGCACCTTTAGGAAATTGGATGCTAGCGAGCCTAAGGCTTTGGTAGCTTTACTAGTTTCTTGATCAAGAATGAAATGTTTTCTCTGTTCGATGGCCGATTCTCGAAGGAAAGTGGGATCTGCTTGTTCGGTATCAAGAGTTGACATTTCAACCTCTACCCCAACCAAATTCTTTGCCGGCGCTGTTGAAATTAGCTGTTGCGCCCATCATATCTTTCACATCACTCACTGCCGGAGACAACCCAGCGTCTCTCTGCTTGGATCTGTTTGGCAACCAGTACAGCATTGGAAGCAGAGGACGAAAAGTTATGGCCTTCGTCGATAATAATGCGGAGCCAATGCAACTTCTTCAAGGGAGACTCATAAATTCTTTCACTATCAACACAATTGCAATTTGGAATACGTGTGGCTCCAATATAAGGGCAATTGCATGCGCGGGTGACGCCACCAGCTGCCCGTCGTCCCTGGTCGTCTGACCCATCTTGGATCTCTAGTTCAAACCGGTTGCGCGTGAAGAGGACCACATCGAACTTCATAAGTTCAGTGGGTGCTGGCAACTTGCTACTAAACTCTACGGTGTCAGTGTCTTGTGACGTGACTCTAGCTTTGTTGCCGCGTTTGGGTATGGAGTCAACGACAAGTATCTTCAAGCCTCCCTTTAGGACATGCTTCTTTATTTCCGACTGCCATTGATGTAGCAAATTGCGAGGCACCACAATGATTGTACCATGGCAAATTACGAGCTGACGAGGAGGCGGAATCCTTGTGGCCCTATTCATTCTTGGAGGATCGGGTGGAACCTCGTAGAAAGGAATGTTCCTTTCCAACGCATCCTTCATACAAGTGAAATCGTTGTCTCCATTCGCTTCGGATTGCTCCAGAAAGATTTTTGCAGGTATCGAGCGGCGTCCTAAGATCGAGGCTGCCATATCTGACAATCTTCCAACAGAGCTGCGCAAAGGCGGAGTAGGTTGATATGCAGCAGGTATTTGTGGAAAGTGTCCTTTCGTAGCAAGGATGACCGCCAAACAGATAACCGTCTTTCCCAGTCCCATGGTCTCTGCCAAGATTCCACCTCGGTTTGTCTCATAGTAGCGGGGCTCCTGCAAGAAAGACCCGTCGCGGGCACCGAAATAAAATTGCTCTCCATTTGGCGACATGCGGATCTCTAGTCTTGGATCGAGCTGCAATTGAGGGGCAGCTTCCCTTTGAATCATCACGCTGGCGGATCGTGCTTGATACGGGTACAGTCTCGTTTTAAGTCCAGTCAGTGGCTGCTCACCGAATTCCTCCCACTTCGAAAAGGCAGCGGACTTGAGTAAGTCATGTATTGCGGCTCTCGTGTACCGATTCTTGATTATTTCTGGAGTCGGTGCAGGTGAAGGTAGTTTGTTGAAGAGATAGTAAAGCGAAAAGTTCTGCTCGCTTGCCCAAGGATCAAAATGACGGGCTTCAATATCGTCATACCCACCGTTCCAGGCATTCGGTGATATGTCCACGTGCTGAAGGAGAAGTCGCAATGCTGCCTTCAAGCTTTTGCTATTGCGGTCAATGAAGCGACGACCCCAGTCTTCAGGAAGTAAATATACGCGGACAAGGCTATATTTTCTCTCAGTATTCGAAGTTGGTTGGTGATTGAATAGACGAATCCAGCGTGCGTCAAGTAGCCTTGAGGCTTCATTGCCTAGGATTAGTTTGATTTCGTCGGAAAGATTAGAATGCAACAATTCAATCCAATCCGTCTCATACATTGATCCATGAGTTATGGCAAATGTGCGGTCGAAATGAAGGCAACCAAGCGCAATATAGTTTTTAACATCTTCAAAGCTTTTCTCCGCAAGATTCGTCGTGGATGACGCAGCAGTCAATGGCGTGGACGCTGCTGTTACCGCCTGAAGAATCCCTTGTGACATTGAAGATAAGGATTCATCATCGCTAGGATCGAACATGCGCGCCTCAGCCGCTGTAAGGTCTCGTGGTGTTCCTGTTGCTTGATGGGTGCATTCGGAGGTGCGCAACGAGACCGGCTTCTCGAACAACGTCGATGTGCTCATGGCTAACACGCATAATCAATCGAAAGTCACGATATCTTAGATCAAGAACCGTAGAGAATGACGGATGGAGCGGCAGGGCCAGAAAAGATGGTTGCTGTTCAATACGCAGGTTGTGTGAAGGCAACTGCCAAGCATGCAGGATCCATTCGGATTTAGCGCCACACTAGCGGATTTAGCATGGACGGTACCAAGTTCAGTTTTGTACACGCAACGATAGGCCGGATTGCGACACAAAATGAGGGTCGGTAAAGCGCTCGTTCTCATTATCGCTCTCAAAAAGTATATCTATGATCCCCAAACGCCATGCTGAAGTCGACTCTCCGCCCGCAGGGTACGCTATCGCATCTCTTGTTGGCCCTTCGTTCCATTCACTTCTACTCCTTTTACCCAAACACTTTCCATTGCCTGTCCCAATATTCGCATACCCTCTTCAATCTCTGACTCGGTGATTGTAAGCGGCGGAACAAACCTCAAAGTGTTTGTGCCACAAGTGATGACAAGGAGACCTCTCTCTCGCGCGGCAGTAACAATAGGTGTGGGATCAATGTCTAACTGGAGGCCCAAAATCAGCCCTTTGCCTCTAACCTCCTGAATTTGATTTGGAAATTGCTCTCGCAAGGTATCGAAATGCTTGCGAAATGCTCGCTCCTTAGCAGGTATCGAATCAAGGATCTCTGGCGATGAAAGACGGGAGAGGATGTAAGAGGCTACCCGAGAGCCGAGCGGGTTCCCACCAAAAGTGGTGCCATGATCCCCAATTTTGATATGATCGCAAACAAAGTCATTGACAATGGTTGCGCCAATTGGGAAGCCGTTTCCAAGTGCCTTGGCAGTCGTTACAATGTCAGGATGACATTCCTTCGGGTAGCCTCCATGTGCCCAGAAGGTACCTGTCCTGCCGAGACCACATTGTATTTCATCGAATATCAGAACGGCGCCAACTTCTGTGCAGCGCTTCCGAAGAGCGAGTAGGAACTCAGGTGTTGCAACGTTCACGCCCCCTTCTCCCTGTATGGGCTCGACAATAACGCCGCAAGTCTCATCCGTCACTAAGTCCTCGATGGCATCCACGTCATTGAAGGTTCCATACTTGAATCCAGGCACCATCGGTGAAAAGGGCAGCTGGTACTTGGGGTTCGGGGTTGCACTCAAGCTTCCCATTGTTCGCCCATGGAAAGAGTTGTGAAATGAGACAAACCCATGTTTATCCTTATTAGGCGATACGGATTTTCCAACTTTGCGGGCGAATTTTATCGCGGCCTCATTGGCTTCAGAGCCGCTGTTGCAGATGAATGTGCGGGTCGCGCTGGCAAAACCACCGCTCGCATGCGTGAGCTGAATAAGCTGTTTGGAGAGGAGGCCGGTGTGCGGGTTGTGGTATAGGTTGGAGGTGTGCATGAGCTGCTTGGCCTACCTAGATGTCAAAAATTGTTCTTTCCTCTTCGCGCTGAGCCATACCTGTTCGGTAATAACCTGTGCGACACCAGCGTCACAATGGCCTAATGCATTGACTGCGATACCGGCTGTGAAGTCTAGGTATTTCCTGTTCTCTACATCCCACATATAGCAACCCTCTCCTTTCTCAAACATAGGCGGTGGGCGGACATAGGTAGGCACCATGTACGGTAATTGCTGATTCACGAGGCCAGCGGTCTTCGAGCTTGGGGACGGATCAGGAGTAGGTAGTGCTGATTCACGCTGCAATATATGAATATACGTTTACACATTCGACATGTCTTACAAACTCACGGCTATTGAGTCCTTCACATTTTGTGGTAGACTGGAGTCCTGTAATGCAGCAGATGCAGCCGACGCGAAACGAGTCGATACGCAATTGATGCGGGGCGCTCGCAATGCGACACATGCACGTTTGGAAGACAGTCGTAGAGCCATTGTAAGCTATACGTACTTCAAAATTCAAGGAGGAGACTGGAGAAGGGCTGGCATGAGGCATTTGCTGTGACTGTTTATCCAAGGTGACTCCACAAATTTCAGTGCCTTATCGATAAGGCTTCCCCGAGGTCGGAGGCAACCAGAAATTGATTGTGATGTCATACAATAGAATGGAATATATCTTATCTAATTTTTGGCAGTCTCAAAATCTTGGGTCTCGTTGGTGTAGTTGGTTATCACGTGGGTCTCATAACTACCAAAATATGACTGCTCTCAGAGTAGATATCCCAAGGCCGCCAGTTCGAGTCTGGCACGGGACAAGCCTTGATGCGTCTTAGACGCATGCCTACCTTTTTGCTCATATTCGATGACAAGGAATGTTGTCTTCCATTCCCACTCGCGTCTTGACCATAGCAAGATGTGTACGTTTATGGATTCTTTTCCGAAGATGCTTATGTTTGGAAGTCTTCCGCTCTAATCAAACACAACAAACACTCACTGTATATTTTGTGGCACGTGAGGCAGCGCGCCCCAGTCTCGCAAAAACAGCATCCTAAGATATTGTTCCCAGACTTCTAGTTAGAGCGTGCATCACCCTCTGTAAGAGCCTACGTTCCAATTCAATAAATATGTTGATCGATTGATTGTTTGTTGTTTATTTTGACCAATGTTGACAGTCGCGTCTTCGAACTTTATGTTGTGTAATTCACGTGGTTTCGTACAAGATCCGCGCTTCAGGAGAAGCTATGACGAAACGCATTGATGTCACAGAAGCCAACTCCTCACCAGATCACGTCTAACGTCCCATCAAATGTGATTTTACTCCAGTACACAACCATCAATCGATCAAGTTATCTGATTCGGCTCAAGATGCCTCCAACTAAGCGACAGAAGACGATGAACGATTCAGGCATATTCTTGGAGTCAGACAATGACACGTCAGACGCGGAATCACAACGACCACATAAGAGTGACAAGACAGCCACTAATGTGAGACTTTGCATCAGACCTATTAAATGTCCTTGAGATTGACATTCACCAGTCTCTTACAAAACAAGGAAGGACTCCGGGTCCGTATGAATATATATGTTTCCATCGCCCTCTTTTCGACGTAGATGGATCGAACTGGCGTGAATGGTCCGATGGCAAGGCAGAGCGTATGGAACAAGAAGAGCTCTTCTTCGACGTGTACCAACCTGGCTTCGAAAAGGAAAGCAAAGCGGGCATCTTCAAAGCATCGCCAGCAGAACACAAAGACCACAAATGGATAATCATGTGGGACGCGTGGCTGAAGAAGGATTTGTTAACAAGGAAGGCCAAGTATTGTGATCCAGACGCATTTGGGTTGAACATGGCCACAGATTGGAAGGGATGGGGAATGCAGGAGATTGTTGAGACTACGGTATGGGGAATAATTGTCAATACGCAAACAAGATGCTGATGCGTAGCAGTTGGTCGAATTTGATCAAGGGTTCCAGAAGAAGACCGAGCAGAGACTTGATGAGATGTGGGTCATCATAAGCGCATTGGGCTTGTGGCTAAATGAAAATGACCATATCATGGCACTCATCGGTACGTAATCAGCCTTCCGTTTCGGCCAAGTCTCTTACAGTACTGCAGCAAACGAAGACGGTGATACAACCTGTGAACTCATCGGTCTTGTCGGATGCGCTCTCCTCGCAGTGCTTGGTGCCATTGATCGCGCTGGCGCGTTGAAACCTGATGCAAGATATCTCGACCTCCCCCTCGTCATTGGGTATTATCTAGAGCTTTCGCACGATCTGCCTGCTTATGGTATCGAGCGCCAATGTGTCTCGTGGCGTAAACAAGCTGTCGCCTTTTTCAAGAAAGGTGGACTTGATGCGCAAAAGGCTCTCTTCTGTACTGAGGTCCGACTTGAAAAACTCGGAAACTCGCCAAACGATGAGGGCGATACTGGTCCTTCCGTTGAACTCGCCCCAGCGGATGCCAACAAAGAGAATGAAGGACCGAACCACAAATCGGATGAAACCACAAAGAATGATGAAAAAGAAACACCAGGGAAGAAAAGGAAGCGAGCTGCAAAGCCAAAAGCCTCTGAGAACGATCCCTGGGGATGGAATGCAAAGTTCAAGGCGTACAAAAAGAGGCAAGGTTCAAGATTGGGTGGCCAGAGGTATGACATTACGAAGATGAGCAGGAAGGATAGAGCTGCAGCGGCTTATGATGGAAAAGACCCACTGGCTAGATTTTCGCTCAAGGATCTTAGGGAGGACTGTATCGACTTCTGACTGAACCAGAGAAAATGAGAAGGTGATTGGGTTTCAGGTTTTGTATGGATTTTCTCCTCGTAAGAGCATATAGCTTATTGCACCTTTCCCCTTGCATCCACCGGCCAAATCTCCTCAATAATGCCATTTCGATGTGCATAATACACATCATGCAAGTTGATCGTCGGGTCGATATGACTCGGAATCATCTCTACCCTATCCCCCACCTTCAAGCCTTTCACATTGCCACCTCCCTCCCCATCCGACCAGCTTAAACTCCCATGCTCATCCCCGAGTACGCCATACACATACCATGGGCTTTTGCACTCTGCAAGCCCACTATCCGTTGTCAGCGACTTCAGACCGGCATCAATTGTGACCGTGTTACGACCCTGCTTAGAGAGGACGGTGGAGAGGATAGTAAGGCTGTTTGAGTAGTGTTTGCCGATGGCGTTGCGGTAATCGGTGTCCATGAAGAGAAATGATCCGGGTTGAACTTCTGTGATTCCAGGGACGGTGACGCAGAATTCTGCCGTACCGGTTCCTCCTGTCGTTACTACATCAATATGGTGGCCGTCTTGCCGGAGAGCCTCGGCCGTCTGTGTGAGTATATTCATTGACTGAAGGCATAATGTCTTCCTCTCTTCAAGACCATGGATGTGTTGTAGATGCCCTTCATATCCTTGTACACCAATGACCTTGAGGTGCTTCAGGCTTGCGACAAATCGGGTGAGTTCCAGTGCTGGCTTGCCAGGTTGGACACCTGTTCTGTGCAACCCAACATCCAAATCAATGAGCGTGCTAATTTGATCTTCAATTCCACTCTTTTCCAACGCTTCATCAATAGATCTCGCACCCTCTTCACTATCAACAACAATTCTGATACTCTTGAACTCTTTGAATAAGTCAACGAGTCTTTGCACTTTCGGTGCCCCGATGATCTCACACGTGATGAGTAAATCTGTGAACCCCTTCTTGCACAAGATCTCCGCTTCGCTGAGCTTCGCAACGCATCCTCCTTTTGCTCCCGCGGCAACCAGCTTCTTAGCGAGGATAGATGACTTTGTGGTCTTTAGATGTGGACGAACGTTGACACCGGTCGGGAGCAACTGATTAAAGAGCTTCTTCGCATTCGATTCCATGAGGTCCAAATCGACGATCATGGACGGTGTGTCGAGCGAGGCAATTGAATCACCTACCCTAGGCGCATACAACATTGTTGCGGTGTACTTATGGTATAGAATTATTAAGTCTGGAACCTTAGATTTGCCTTAACGGAATCTCGCGTCTCGATTTATTTGAAGGCTGTCGGGCGAAAACTTTGGAGATGGAGTAATTGATGAGGTCAAATCAAACTCTAATGTGCTCCAACAGCTGAAATTGAGATGACTGAATTGTCAACTGAGGATTAGGTGGGATGCTGGTGGTGCTGGTAAAGCGCGAGTGTGAGGACTGAACATCGAGAGGGACCCGAAAGTCCAAATGTGGTAAGCCGAAATTGGTCGCCACCTTCCTGAACGAGATACTCCCTTGTCTACTTCACATGATTCAAAGTTGCACTCCATCTACATGCTTTGATCTCAGACCCTTAAGGCTGGTGATAGGATTTGACTGTATTATATCATAATCGAGTCACATTTATCGTGAGAACGTATGGCCGCCTAGATTAAAGAGAGTAGTGTGCGAGTTTCAGGATGTAGAAGAGTAGCCATGGCCTGATCATCTTGGACCTCCGTTACTATAGGACTCTATAACTACAATTATAGCACTGAGGGCTTGAACGGTCAGCTCGGTTAATGTAACTTTCAAATACATGTTGCAAGCCCACTTAGTTTCCGGATTCCTCGCCCGACAACATCCCTGGTGAGACACCTATATTGCATATCAATGGATCGAAGTACTTATAGCAGTCGTATCAATAGAAAGCCTATGTTAATGACTAACAACATACTGTATAAGCAGAGTGGATTCTTTTGAAACACAACCACACTCGCATGCTGTCCTTGCTCGTTCTAGCAAAATTACGCCTTGCAACCATTGTACCCACTCTGCTGCCACATCTTCACACTCTTGACTTTCATTTGTCCGTCCTGCTGCCATGTAGGGTACCACTGATCTCTCTTATCCCAAAAGTCCTTCTTAGCCAGAGGACTCTTGTCGATCCATGGTTTGCCGGACTTGCCATCTTCGAACCAGCCATTTGTTCCACCAACCGCCACATCGAGCACGAGGTAAAAGTCTTGGTCAAAAGGCGAGGCTTTTGACCCGGTCAACTCCCATGGATTGTTGAGACGCGTGCCGTTGCGGTCGGCGACAGGAAACTGACCGTGGTCCCAAAATGGCTTGTTGAATGTTTTGAACATTACTTGCCGGAGGCGAGAGTTGATGTATGTAAAGATGTATTTCTCACTCCACTGTTATATAGAGTTATCAAAGGTGTAAATTGAAATATTTGGAGAGGGTAGATGTGACAGACCTCGATACCGAACGTGTTGTAGTCATCTGAGAATGTCGTGCGCAAAGCCTGGTTCATAAAAACGTTGTGCCACCAGCCGTCAAATTGTGGACTTGGGCCAAAGTGCATGGTACTAGTGATAATGTTATTTCCGCCCTGGCCGTAGCTTGCGTTGTTTCCTCGTGACTCTAAGATATCGATCTCACCAGAGCGTGGCCACTCTCCGTACACTTCGTACTTGGGCAGCATCCAGACCGCAGGCCATAGCCAATCTCCGCCGGGAAGTTTGGCGACAACCTCGATGCGACCATACTTGATTGAAGCTCCTTTTTTAGTATTTATACGACCAGATTTGACTGGATTGATGACTGTGCCATTTGTGGTGTTGGTGGTTGCAACACAGTCAGTCCAACGTTCACCTGTGCAGCCATGACCACGAAGATCGACAACGTGATTGGTTTCCATAAGAAGTTCTTCCTGCAATGTAGGCTTGATTACGAGAACGCCTTCCTCAATGAAAACATTCTCGTCCGTGTCGGTGGTCATTTCGAACTGGCCGTTTCTGAGCGAGGATTAGTGGTGGATGCGACCATACTCTATTCTTTTACTTACCCAT